CCGGTTCCGACAAATGATTAATACATTATAAAAATACACCCACCTACCAAATTTGATACGGATATCTCGAAAACTGAGAGACTAGATTGCATACAAACAGACGGACAGACGGACATGGCTAAATCAACTCAGCTCGACGTTCTGATCATATAAGTATACATTTTGATGGGTCTATCTCTTTTTGTTCTGGTACTTACAAACATCGGACCAAAGTTATAATACCATTTCATGCTCATGAAAGGTATAAAAATCATAACTCGAAAACGATGAATTTTAGCATATTGCTACTCGTACTGAAAATAGTTTATACTATTCCCTAATAGAAAAAAAGTTTGAGAGAAAAAAAAGATGTGGCAATTTCAAAAAAATCAATTTGAAAAAAAATATTTTTTTTTTGTTTATAAACAATAATTAATTACTAATAAACAATTACTGATGTTTAGTTCACTAGATCGATTCAGTAGATCAATATCTGGAATTTAAAAAAAAATCGTTAAAATCCTTGCTTTTTTGCGGCAGTTATAAACGATTTCATCAAAATTTGCTATTAAGAGAGGAAAAAATAAGCGTTCGTACTCAAAAAGAAAAAAATTCATTATTCGAAAAATTCGCATTTCTGAGCCAAAAGGAAAAATACGTGTCTCCTTAAATTGTTCAAGGAACAACCCCTGTGAGTTTTATCGCAAACTTAAATTCACTTTCCCCCGGCCTGGGTGATTTGAGATGGAATGAGCCATATATATTGTTATTGATGATATTTTGTTGTTGAATTAAGAAACAAATGTGGAAGTATTAATTAGAAAATTTTAAAAATATCCTTTGAAATTTTTATCGCTTAATCTATACTAGTGTTCGCCCAGCGGTTGAAATTCAACCGCTAAAATTAAGGATAGTTTGTGTGAGTTGAGTTGAGCTGAAATAACTTTAGTTGGAATGGGTTAAGTGGAGGGGAGTTTAGCTTAGTACTTAGCATAACATAACATACCATAACATAAGATTAAATAACATAACACATGTAGCATAACACACTACAATATAACATCGCACATTCTTTAGTTGTATATCCTTTTATCCCTATCACTTTCTTCCTCTCTATCTTTGTCTGTATCGCTTTCAATGTTTATTTTTATGTTTATTTCACCTTCATGTTCATGTTCATGTTCATGTTCATGTTCAAGTTCATCTTCATCTTCATCTTCATCTTCATCTTCATCTTCATCTTCAT